GGTGTGGTGGGTTGGGGGTGTTAAGGTGAGGGTAGGTAAAGATGGATGGGGGTGGGAGGGGGTGTTTATATTTTAGAAAAAATTTGGAATTAGAAAAATATGGAAAACAATGATTATAGGTTTTCCAAAATTTTCCAACTTCTTTGTAATTTTAGAAAACGAAAAATTTCCATTTTCCGTGAAAAATTTAGAAAAATAGATGAACTAAACGCGTTTTCAAAATTCTCATTTTTTTGGAAAATTTTTCCAGAAACGGCTCATTTTTCCGCAACTAAACGAACCCTTAGTTTTTTCAGGAAATTATTTCACATGTGCATTGGTACTTCCAAACCCAACATAAGCTTTTATAATTTATTAATGACCAATTATGTCGGAGATGGTTCTATGATACGATGGTTCTATTTCCTTTGGGTTTCATATATTAATCATTCCACTTAGATCGTTTAAACTCGTGTTTGGTGGTGGATCACCAAGTAGAGAGGGTGATGAGATGTTAATTAGCGTATAACCTATTTGAACAAATGGAGAAATTGAGGATTTCCAAAATGTGACTTGTGCTATAAACGACCTCTTCAATGAAGAGTCAAAGAAATATTTTTTTCTTTATCCGATTTTTTTAGTACGCGTGCAAATTATTATAAATATACTTGTATGTAAAACTTTTTTATAAAAACTTTGTCATTTCTGTTAACGTCATATCGCATATTTCAGTAGACAAGTACGTAATTCGAACACCATTAAGATAATAACCGAAAAGCTCAGAAAGCATCGTATATCTTTAATTCAATATTATTTATTTACTCTTCAAAAAAAACATGAAGAACACCATGAATTAATTTAACCCGTTTCCCAAATGGGACTCCAAAGATCCCACACACCATGTGTCGTACTTTCTTCTGAACTCGATCCAACTTCACTGCAGAAACATGGAAACGTTCCCATGCAATCTTCATGATGTTTTACTTCTTGATCACCTTCCCAGCAACATGAAGATATCAAATCCGACATCCTACTTTCATATGGTGAACCACTTTCGAATGCAATATCCATGTTACAAGATTCAGGTGTTTCCATAGATGAAATTCCAAAAATATCCTCTTTATCATTCATGCTGCTTTCGCCAACATGATCAAAGTTTCTGTCACCTTTTGTTGTCAAGAAATCTCGTTTCACATCTTCTTTTATGCCCTTGAAGCATTCTGCTTTAGAATTTCATTAGAACATGAACATGATCGTGAATAATCTTGATCGATGAATACATAATAAGAGTATATATATAAACCTTGTTGGGCTTCGGCTTTCTTTTTTAAATGACTTCTCCAGTAATTCTTGATCTCGTTATCTGTTCTTCCAGGCAATCTTTTAGCGATTCTTGACCACCTATGTAATTAATTATATCTCATATATTGAAATTTGTCACGAAATATTGTAGTACAATTGTACAAATGCTTACTTGTTACCCCATTGTTTATGAAGATTAAGTATTATGTGTTCTTCTTCATCTGTGATCTCACCATGCTTTAAATTGGGTCGAAGATAGTTCATCCACCTAAGCCGACAACTTTTTCCACTTCTCCTCAAACCTTAACGTCCCAATCATTAAATCATAATGATTAATTTAAAATAAAACCTTAATTAAACGTATGTTATAACTTATATATACCTGATTGTTTAGCTAAAGCATCCCAATGTTTTTCACCTAATGCGTCAACAGTGATAGTCAATCTATCATCTTCTTCATCAAGCCAAGGCCCTCTACGCAAGTTTCTTGGATCATGAATCGACATGAAATCAAAACTTATGGTTTGAATTAGGATTTATGGGTTTGTTCTTTATGTGTTTAACTGTTTGTATTTATAGGAAGACTTTAAAGCATGGAAATTTTGGATTGAGACTGTAGGTGGAAAGCAATGTGTAAGGCTAGTGATTGTGGAAGCTCCACCATGTCTTTTCTTTACGATTGTAGGGTGTTTTCTATTGGTTTGTATGGGAGTTTGCGTCACAAACTTCGGTTTATGCTTCTTCTTTATGGTGATTACAACTTCTCAAACCCTTTTTTTAACTAAAGATATATAAGGGTATTATCGTTATTTCCAAAAAACTTGTCTTTTTTGCAAAAAGTAACATGTCCACGTGCTTGTTGTTCATATATAGATGAGAATATACACGTCCATGCTTCTTTAGCACTAAAATAGATGAAAATTAATAAATAATATCTACCTTCAACCATATTCATTGCCATGTAGGCATTGTGATTTATCATTCCCATGTTGGGTATGAAACTATTTGGTTTCAACTAAAGATACATAAGGGTAATCTAGTCATTTTCCAAGAGTGTCTTTTTCACAAAAGGAAATATTTCCTAGTGCACGTTGTTCACAACAATACTTCATTCACTCAAAGAGTAGGTTAATTAAGTTGACTTTTTCGGTCAAACAAACTAAGATCCAAAATCAAAATTAATGCTAATACTATAAACTTTCAAGAAATGTTTGTTCCTAGTTTTAAGTGCTACATACATTCAAAAACAAAAATGATAACGATTAACATATAACAAATAATCAATATACATATTGAGCTTGAAATAAGCAAAAGGTTTGACCTCAAAAGTCAAATTAAGATTTCATAAATTCTTATATGTATAACATGTGTTCTTCTTTCAACACACCATTCTTCATCTTAAAAAAGCATAAACAATGATGAGAAATCATTAACAAAAGCAATTACAAACACTTTTTCATTGGATTATGTCATTAAACTACTACTCATAAATATAACATCCGCATAATATAAACCTTCAACTCCTAACGTTCATCCATGAATGATTTGTTCATGAGCTCAACTGCTGAATCCATAAACTGCACCACATATACAAAAAAACAAATAAATAAATAAACTTTAAAAATCGACATTTTTATAGTAGAAATTAGAAGCTGAAGAACACATAGATATGCACAATTGTAAAAAAGTATTTTCTATCTTTTATGTCATTTCTTCACTTAAAAGTAAACAATGAGTTAACAACCAACCAAAGTAGCTTGCTTTCCACTTTATTAAGTACACTTCGGGTCCAAATGAATTCCATTTCATTTGTTTGTAAAGATGATAAAAGGGCAAAGATGTAATTTTAAAAAAGAAATGGAATTTACCTTTCCAATGTTCTTGAGTTCTTTCCCAACAGGTTCCAAAAATTTCAAGTCAACATTAACAGGCCAAACCTGCATACACATGTCAAACATCAAACTTAGTGACAAATACTACAAATACAAACAGATTTGATGATAAATTTATTACAAGATCCATATCAAATTATCATTTAAAAGTGTTCATTACTTCATTATGTTTCATAACTTTGATCCCAGAACTTAAAAGCATAAATTTTTTGAAGAAAAATAGGGACACTGAATCTATCCATGTTTCTCTTCCAAACATGTGAATATTGATAATTATAGAAGATCAAAATCAATAACACTAATCATCTAATGAAATTATGTAATAAGTAACAACCAGTAATCATTTATGATCTTTGGATGTGTTACAACAAGATTGGGCCAATTTAAGCAGGGTGTGGCTCATTTTAATGGAATTAAGATTGCTCTATACAATGTGAAATTTAATAGAATCTTGAAATGTCGATAGTTATTGATGATATATTACAGATCAAATTAGCATTAAGAATGAACTTCTCCATGAAACTTTTAGCTTCGAAACAGACATATAAAGCAATTAACTTCTGGTTTTGTAAATACTGATGTTCTATTTTTCAGCTTGTAGATTCAAATTTCTTCGTTCTATAGTTTTATGCAATGATCGACTAATTTAAAACCAAAACATCACAAGTTAATCTGGACTTTACTTTTAGATGAATGGAGGCATAGAAGATCTAACCTTTAATCCAAGAAGTTTAATGGGTGTAACCTGTCCGGGAACGATGCATTCTGGCCCTGCTGCTTCCACTATCGCTTCTGTTCCTAACCCATGTCCAATTGGATCCGGATGCTGCAGAATTCCGATTCAAAACCCAAAAGATTCAAAAAGGAACGAAAACCCACAACAGATTATAAAACAGTTTACAGATACAATCACCCTAATTTGGAACCTTTATGTAGTCACAAACACAATTGATGAACAGATTACAGCTACAATCACCCAATCCCCTTTCAGCGAAGAAAGTTTTTGAAAGACCCCAATTTATCCTGAACTTCAATTTATTATTTAAACAGAGGAACACCCATGTTCGATGAACAGATATGGAACTCACACACTCATAATTAACTAAATTTAAGCAAACAGAGACAAAATTCAAACGTACCTTCATGAGGGAGACGGCATAGTCGGTGTAGAGGTTTTGAGCGAGACAAAGAACAGGGGAATGGTGGATTTTGGGGAGGGGTTTGACGCCTGTAGAGGGTGCCCTCCATGGCGCATCCTTTTGTAACACAGCTCCTCCTTTCTTTGACATTAATTGGTTATTTGTTGTTGTTGAAGAGTGGGGGAGGACTAGGAAGGATGAAGGAATGAAGGGGGATTGAAATATGGTGTAATTGCAACCAGTAAGATAAAGATTAAGGATGTGATGTTAATGGATGGATGAAGATTGAAGATGGTGTAATGGCCGGAGGTTTTGGATTTCGAATTTTTGGTCGCTGTTAATCGAGTTTAAGAAAAGGCTTTTGTGATATGAAGCATTGGGTCATCCGCCTTGGCCCTTGCCACCTTAAATGACCCCTATACCCGACCCTTTTGGGTTCGAATAATTTTCATGTTCCTTTTCTGAATTATTTATTTATATTGCACAAAAAACTCCATAAGTTTGTAACTTTTAACAGTTTTATTATAGGTTTTATGTAAAAAAAATCGTACTATTTTAAGAATTTTTTTGATAAAGTTTTATATCTATTTTTTGAACGGAAAAGTCTTATTATTTTGAAAAAATCACATAATCTGTTATTTCTTGTTAAAATAAATAAAAAATAGTTTTTTCATTAATTTGGGTAAAATATTAATAATCTGGACTTTTTTTCTGTTAAAAAAAAATTTAGAACTTTATCAAACTTTTCATAAAATATTAAGATTTTTCAGCAATAAAACCCTTTTATTATTTGAGTTTTATTTCCGAATTTATCTTATAGCTTTCATTCAGATTAATGGTTTCACTTTAAAGAACCTGGAAACCGATGATAAACAGTAAAAAATGTAAAACTAGAAAGTTGAAATGAAAATTATTGGATAAAACTAAATAAAAATAACACAAAATAAAACAGTTAAAAAGTTGCAAACTTAAGGTTATCTTTAGTTAAAAAGTTGCAAACTTAAGGTTATCTTTGGTTGTAGAAAATTGTTTTTATTTTTCTTGAAAAAAAAGGTAGATTTTTCATTTTCAGGTTTCGATAGAAAATTTCAAAAAAAAGTTGTTTAGTTAAATAGGGTTTAAATTGTATTTTGGAAAATAAACTATTGAAATTTAAGTTGCGAACAAAAAAAAAAAGTTATAAATAAGTAACCAACTATGAATTTTGTTTCTATACATGTCAAATTCTAATTTATATTTTGTGGTCTAGATTTAAATTTTATTACAAAATTGGTCAAAACTTTAAATTTTGTTACGAATATTATAGTGTGGGGATGAGTAGCGGAACTGGAAACCTGCTTTTAGAACCGTAACTGCCTCGGAACCGTCGGTTCTGGTATCATAACTGCCTTAAGCGATACCTGTTTGGGTTCTTATTTTTATGAAACCGCTACCTGCTAGGTACCCGTCGCAACCGATATATATATATATATATATATATATATATATATATATATATATATATATATATATATCACATACTTTATACGGTATCTTAAATAACATCATTTGAAATTCTAGAATTTTAAATAATTTGTTTTGAACATTTAAAGGTTTTAAGAAACATGCATACAATTTTTCCATCATGTTATTCAAGCTACTATTATTTTCTAATCATCATTTTTAATAAGTACGAATTACATAGTGATGTTATCGATAATTCATTGTAAGTTTACAAATAGATATACTTTTACAAGTTTTAAAAATTCAACAAAATTAACGAACTGGGTACCAGGTATTAGAACTGTTACCCGTCGGTTCCGGTTCCATCATTTTAAGAACTGCCAGTTCCAGTTTCAGATAATTAGGACGGGTAGCCGCCTACGCATATCCCTAAGGACAGGGGATAGGTAGTATCAATGTTGCAGAAATCGGCCTTGGCGGCCGATTAATCGGCGATTAATCGTTTGGCGGCCTCGAACCGATTACGATTAGGGTGCTTGGCGGAAATTAGTCAAAATCGGTCAAACTCGGGCTTGGCGGTCCTTGGCGGCCTTGGCGGTCCTCGGCGATCATAGGCTGGAAATATTTAAAAAACTCAAAAAAAAAAATTCAAATATTACACCAAAATTTTAAAATTTTAAATTTTTAAGCTTTCAAATTTTAAAATATTATACTAAAATTTTTAAAATTTCAAAATTTTAAAATTTAAAATTTCCAAATACTTAATTTTTTAGGAAATATTAAATTTTAAAATAATTTTATTAATAATTTAGAGTCCCCGATTAATCGCCGATTAATCCCCGCCGAGTCTGATTAATCGTTTATCGTCAGTCGACCGTCGAGCTACCGCAGAACGATTTTTACAACCTTGGGTAGTATGGGTTTAAGTGGGTAGGTAGGATGGGTAGAGATAGGTGGGTTAGGTGTATGGGGTGGGTTGAAGGAGGGTGAGTGGTTTGGGGAAGGTATAGTAAATATGGTTAGGTTAGGAGT